GAGACTATGCAAAAGAGCAGAGATTGGAGCCCAGAACTGGATAGCTTAATCCAGAATTTTCTCAAAAACTTTGTGAGATGCTGCACAGAGTCCTCCAGGACCTAGGAGGGAGGTGAAGAGCTGCAGGGACCTAGCCTCTGGTGCAGTTGCCCACAGGAACACCAGGGTTCGACCTTTGACCAAAAGTATTTCGCTTTTACCTTTTCACCTGTTCCTGCTTGTACCAAATTTCAGGTGTGTGCAAAAATCAAAATATTTACCTTTTTTTTTTACAGAAACAATGTCAGCAAATGAAAAGAGGGTAGACAGAGATTCCATTTTGTTGCATCCAAAGACAAAAGCTAAAATCTGATGAAGGTGAAACAGATGTGGCATTGCTCGGAAAGCTCAATGTCAACAAGACACGTGGCTGAAGATGCAGGGTAAGGAGGAAAGTGAAATGAAAGAAGAGCCACAACAAGGAAAACACTGTACTCCTGGAAAGGAAACTTCTAGATGCTGGGACTCCCCCTCAGAGCCCTGGGGTCTGACTCAGCACAGGGTGATAAAATGCTCAAGACATCTGACTGAGGACTAAGTCAGCACTGCATTTCCAAACAGCCAACCCCTCTACCTGACGCCCCCACATGCTGTTGGTCCTCCTTCACCAAGGCTCTTGCAGACTCCAGCAACTCCATTGAGGCAGTCACATGCCCAAGATTGTTTTCCACTTTAAGGATAAAACATATTCAATAATGACAATGTGCCACAAGATGAGTGATTTAGCAACAACTGTTAAAATCATCTATGCTCTCGAGGATGTTGAAAGAGCTGAAGAACAGACATCAGCTCCCACTGAATTTATCACTTCCATAGAAAATGGAAATGAAATTCGGTGGGGGGAAGAGGAGCTGTGGTGGTATATCAGACTAAATTACCTCCTGCTGATTTCTGTATCCTATTGGGCACCAATTCATGTCCCGGCTGCTCCACTTCCCAATCCATTTTGCTTATGGCCCGGGAAAGCAGCAGAAGATTGCCCAAGTCCTTGGGCCCCTATATCCACATGGGAGACCTGGAAAAAGTTCTTGACTCCTGGCTCTCAGCTCCAGATCAGCTCAGCTCTGGCCATTCCAGCCATCTGTGGAGTGAACCAGCACATGGAAGATCTCTCTCACCTCTCCTTCTCTCACTCACTCTCTGTACGCCTTTCTAAATAAAATAAATAAATTTCTGTTTCTAGGAAATGAGTTCAAAGGTAAGTTCAGATACTCAACATGAATTTGCCATAGAAAACTTTTGCCTTTATTGACCTTGAGCTGGAAAAGAATGGAAGACATGGGAGGTACTGAGCACAGAATCAGCAAACAATCCAACCCTGACATCCTAGGGTTTCAAACCTTGTTCAAAGACCAACTTTCCAGGATTATGCTAGTTACATAGAAACACACATCACTTCTTGCAATAAGAAAAATCTCTTTGAAGTGTTTTGCTTTTCTTCATAAATGATCTAAGTACGCACACACACACACACACAGACACGAAGAAAGGAGAGATTTGAGCAATTGGTATTGAGAGTCCTCCTAGATGTACACATTCAGCTTGCATAAGAGGCACAATAACATGGCTTTCCTTTTCTGTAATTTGCCACATCACAGACACTCATGAAACCAATTCAGGCAGTGTATAAAAGAGGGAAGAGAAAAGGAAGTGATGAGAAAAGAGAAAGAGACTCATAGCCCAGGACCTGCATTGCCTATTCCGACTTGAGTCCTGATTTCACCGCTGGAGGTACAGGTGCCCTGAAGAATCTTCCCAATCCTCTCTTGTAATTTCTATCTGGACGTGTCCCATAGACGTTAGCAACAAAGCACTCTAATACTCTCACGTGGGGCAGAGGTGGTACAAAGAGGCTCTTCCTCAGGTTTTCTAAGTATCCAAAGAATAGATGAAACCTCAATGAAGAAGGAGAGCTTGCTCCCTTGGTCCCTCGGTCCCAGTCTCTAGAAGGACTAGTGGCAGCTGTCAGCGTTCTCTGAGTTCCCTGACTTTGTTCGGGTCTTCTCTCTCGGGTCCTTTCAGCATCTCCTGCCCCACCCAGAGACTGCAAGCTTACCAGTGGAAATCCCCCGAGCAAAGTAGCACATGCTGTACCAAAATATTGTCTTTTGACTTTGTTCTTCTACAACCTCAAGACTAAAGGAAAGAGATACAATCAAAATGATAGTCCACTTAAATTATAAACAAGAGAATTTAAAGAAACATGACCCATTGACTCACCCATGGAGTGACAGTCACTGAGCAGCTTCTAACCCTTGTGTTGGTAGATGGATATAATTTGTGATTTTTTTCTCCAATACTTGCAGAATTTGAATGAATTTATAATTAGAGCTTTCTTGAAATGAAATTCAGCTCAATGCACACAACACATCAACTTTTGTGAATCAGATTTGTAATTTTCCAACCAACCTTTCAAACGAGAGCAGAAAAAAAGGACACACATCATCTGATGCCCAAACCATCACTCTGTTTAGCTTGGAAGTAAATGCCTTCAAGAGGACCTGAACAGCTGAACACAGAATATGTCTCCTTCAGGAAGAATTTTGCTCTAAAGTATCTCCTGGGTTTGTCATTAAGCCTATGTCATCGATAACTCCTGCAGACGAAGTCCATCACCATGTTTCTTCAAAGCTGAAAAGGAGCTACAGGATGCATTGCCTATCCGTGACAGAATTACTGTCAACCTCTGTGTGGACAAAGAAATCAAACAACTACCAAAAAGGACATTTAGTCAATCTTTTGAATACCACCACTTTAACCATGAGGTCAATATAAGGGAACAATTTTTATGGCCATACGAGTTTAAAAAAGGTACAACTTTTCGAAGCCATTGACTTCATAAGTATGTTCCAGTATATACCATGGAAGCCATACATAGTCTTGAAATGTTGTGACAGGGCCAGCTTTGTGGCACAGCAAGTTAAGCCACCACCTGCACTGCCATCAGCTACTGAACTTCTGATCCAGCTCCCTGAGAATGTATCTGGGAAAGCAAGGAAAGCAGCAGAAGATGGCCACATCCTGTGAGAGACCCAGAAAGGAACTCCTGTCTCCTGGTTTCACCCTGACTCAGATCCACATAATATAGCCAACTGAGAAGTGAATCAACTGAAAGAATACCTCTCTTTTTCAGTGGGGACATAGAGAAGGGGTAGGTCGGGGAATGAATCCACTCCCACACAACTCTGCTTTCAAATGATAAAATGAATATTTTAAAGAATAGGGCCCAGCACGATAGGGTAGTGGCTTAAGTCCATGCCTTAAACAAGCCGGGATCCCATATGGGCTCCGGTTCTAATCCCAGCAGCTCCACTTCCCATCCAGCTCCCTGCTTGTGGCCTGGGAAAGCAGTCGAGGATGGCCCAAGGCCTGGGGACCCTGCACCCACGTGGGAGACCCAGAAAGAAGTTCCTGGCTCCTGATCTTTCCAATAAAATAAATAAATCCTTTTTAAAAAAATAATTAAAAGAATAGAATACTGGGCTCAGCACTATACTCTAGTAGCTAAAGTCCTCACCTTGCAGGCCCCGGGATTCCATATGGGTGCCAGTTTGTGTCCCGGCAGCCCTGTTCCCGATCCAGTTCTCTGCGTGTGGCTTGGGAAGGCAGTCGAGGATGACCCAAAGCCTTAGTACTCTGCACCCACGTGGGAGACTCAGAAGAAGCTCATGGCTTCAGAATGGCTCAGCTCCTGCTGTTGTGGCCGCATGGGGAGTGAATCAGCAGATGGAAAATATTCCTCTCTATCTCGCCCCCTCTGTGTATAGTCTTTCCAATAAAAGTAAATAAATCTTAAAAAAAAAAAAGTAGAAAACCTGTGGCAACTGGATTCTCACTAGTGGAATCATGTTTCAACTCCGCTAAGAACATATCTACGTCATTCCTGAACAAGACACTGACATTTTCTACAACCGATTAGATGGTAAAGATTTTAATTTTTACACTTTACACTCTCTGCCACATCTGCTTCAGGCTACCATTGTAGCACAAAAGCACCTGTAGGCAAACACGCAAATCTATGGGTTGGCTGTACTCCACTGAAACCTTATGCACAAAAACAGGTGGTGGACTAAATTCAGTCTCTTAAAGTTGGCCCACTCCTGCATTAAACAAATAATCTCGGAGAGACTGCTAGCATGAATAAACTGTGAGTAAGCTCTAGGTGTTTAAAAAAAAAAACGGAAAAAGAAAAACTACTATTGATGTGAAACCTAGAGGTTAAAGGTAAGCTATTTCTTTTTCTTACTGCTAACTTATTTTTTTTTAAATAATATTGAAGTACAATATACATTCCAGGAAATGTACATAATTGTGCAGATAAATCAGACTTCGGTGCTCTAATCACACTCATAACCAAAACTGACATTAAGAACAAAACTTTAGCTGTACTCAAGAGTCAGGGTCAACTATTTTAAATAACCCTCATATATTATCTCATAAAGTACAGAAATTATTTTTAAGGCAAACTCATCCCTAGAAGTATGAATGGGTAAGCTTTGTGGATTTAGATTTTGTTTCTGATTCTTTTAAAGTGGGCTTTTGCCTGAGATGACTTCAGCGTAAGTTTGCATCTGTTCCTTCAGACCAAAGAACATAGAAAGCTTGAGAGCCACAGGAACACTGGGCTTAGAGAAGTGCAATAATTTAAACCATTGTAAGTTCTTCATCTCTGACTCTGCTTACAGCAGCAGTACTTCCATTGAGACTTCCTGTTTCTGAAGCTCGCCTTCTTTTAAGCAGTGTTTATACTTCCCCCTGAGTGTGGTTAACTAAGCAGAGAGCTGTAGATCTAAGCCTCCTCCTTCCCCTAGGCTCATTCATTTGTGCACGCAGGGCCACAAGTCAGCTCTCTCCTCTGTGTCTCTCTCTCAGAATGACAATTCTAGGTACAGCACTTGGTCTGGTTTTCTACTTAATTCAAGGTGTTTCTGGAGAGAGTGGATATGCTCAGAATGGTGAGTCATTTCTAACTTTTCTTAAGGACTTTGGATTATCTTTTCTACATGTTTTGGATTACTCATTTCTCTAACATATCTGAGTTGGGTAATGGGTTGGTAGAGTCTGGGCCTTGCCACATATTCAGTCATTGTATATGCACTAACCATCAAGACAAGGGCTGGGAGCTGCTATGATGGGAGACTTACAAGGCCTCAGAAGTATCAAGAAGGGAGGTGTTTGACACTCAAACTGTGCGTCTCACAGGTAGGCTACTGCCTCTGCTAATACGAAAAGAACATCCATATAAAGTCTGTCACTATGCTGTTTGGAAAATCCCTCAGATATTTTTATTCTGTCAAGAAACCAAGATGTGTTTTGTTAGACTCTTATTTAGAGATCCCCAAAAGCTTCACTTTCGTGGTATAATAATGTTTAGAATTGATAACTTTTTCTATGTTGACTAGTACCGTATCCTCAGCACTTAAAATCAGCATCTAAAAGCAGTCAATAAATATTTGAAACTTTCTTCAACATAGTTTACTTTCAATAGATTCGTGTGAAATCCTTAGTAAATAATAGAGAAAGGTCTGGGAGTTTTCTCTCATTGAAACACACTTCTTTGCCTTCTTATCAAAGGATTTATCACATGTAATAATTCTTGTTGGGAGTCTTTAAAATTCTTGGCACCTAGAAGCAGACCTTGAGCTCTTAATGTATACATAGTTAAATTTGATCTATAGACAAAAATGCCAGCAACCTGAAGAGCTACTAGGAACTTGGGCTACCACTTAGGTCCTGAAAATTAGATCTTTTCACTTTAAAAGTGTCAAACATACCAAGTTAATGACTCAGAGTCTATCTTTTAAAATGTTTCCTTAGACATGTTTTCTCAGCTCTGATATTTTAAGTCAATGTCTTTAAGAATTACCAAATATGGAAAACTCTTACATTTTCTTCTCAAGGGAGCTGTCCGAGCATTGACATTTTTCACATGGTGACCGGGTGTGAGTCAGACCAGGGACATGCTCATTACATGAAGTCTCACCTTGTGTTTGCCCAAAGACAGAGACATGGCAGGGCACGAAAGTTTCACTTTTATGATATAATATATTCCTGCTATTTCTCCCTGAAGGTCATACTATTTTTGGAAGAAACAAGAATTCTTGTTGAAAACCAGGGTTTTTCTCTTCAAATTTTAGATTTCATATATTTTTAGAGAATCTGTTTTAAAAGAACTATTTATCCATATGCTTACATCAAAATACTCCTCCAGCTCTATATGTCAGGAATTCACAACATAATTAGCTACTACTTTTGAAAGTTAGTTCTGTGATAATTACAAATGAATAAGGATTTATTATTTTTTTGAAGTTCAAACATTTTAAGCTGTTAATCAACCAATTCTACTCAGTAGGAAAACTTCTAAACCATACTATACTGTTTAAGATCATATTCCAAAAGGTTTAAACATTAATGGATAAATATGCATAGATATTTATCTAAACATTGATGTTGGTTAAATATTTTAAAAATTTAAAATATTCATGGTTGAGCATTTAAAGAACAGCCAAACTCACTATTCAGAAGTTCTATGTAATTTCAAGATGGCAATGATTTTACCATCAATTGACACAGACTTCTATTTTAAAAGAACTTCAGGTGTACATGTGTATTTTAGAACTAAAAGTTTTATTTACCCTTAAAACACTTATTTCTAAAAGTTATGATAATAGTCATAGCTGACCCTTATTGAGTGCTTACTGTGTCCTAAGTTAAGGCTATACATATCCATTCATTGGTATTTCATACTGTGAGTTCTCACATAAGAACACTGGGACACAAGGAGGTTAAATAACCTGATAGAAGACTAGGGCCACACAGTAGGAGTGGCAGAACTTAAACTCTTATCAGTTCACATCAAGGAGAATACTCTCCTTGCCAAATGCCAGGCAATTTTACAAATTGTTGAAAATATAATCTATCTATCTATATACTAGACTCTTACCTCTTCTAAACACAGTGTACTTATTCTCTGCCTCGTCTCCCCCACCATAAGCCTCAGAAGCAGTTGACGAATATCCTATGCAGTAACTTCAGGTAGGGAGTTGTCAAGCAAAGCATGGGCCATTGAACATAGACATCTAACAATCCAGGGAAGTCTGACCCTAGACTCCAAATCCCTTCCTTAAGAACTGATATAAAGGTGAAATGGTATCTCCTGATTGGCGGTGCTGCTGGGGCTTGACCCTGCTTGGGCTCACTAAATACCCCTACTCCAAGGGGTCTTTTCTTTTACAGGGGCAGTTTGCAGGGAGCTTCCTGATTGTGTGAATGAGGTGAGCATCTGCTCCCTTTGGGTATTTTAAGGCTTGGTGTCAAAAATTTTTCCATTACATCAAAACAGAGACTTCTCTACAGCTTGTCCTGATTTCTCATCACACACTAGCAAATCTAGCACCACAGAGCTGTCATAATCCCATCTAATATCCATCTTAAATTATGATTCATATCTGTACCTGGGAACAGTCCCCATGTTTAACAACAACATCTACATATAAAACATCCCACCGTTAAGGCTTACACAGTTACATAACTTTAATTATCTTCTCTAGACCAAGAAACTGTTTTTAGCCATAATTGTTCAAAATCAAATTCACAGCCAGGGCTTAAAAAGCTTGTACAATGCCAATAACTTAAAATACACATGCGCACATACACACACACTTCTTACAGAACTATGTTTGGGCAAACTCCATTTGTGGAGTGCCACTGAAGGCACATTTTGCTAAACAGCTACTAGAAATAGTCTTGTTTAGAAAAAAATAATCTAGTACTGTAGGGCACAGCTGTTTATTGGATGAGCAGAAAAGATGCTATGCCAACCAGAAAGTTGTAGGTCTTTCAAGTTGTATATATCAGAACTGCAGAAACATCTGAGTGTTTTCAGGATACAAAGTTGGAGCCAAAATATAATATCAGACCAATTACAGAAAGTGTATAGTACCCATCTTTTGAAGCCAAACCTGATACACACACACACACACACACACACACACACACACTCTGCAGGACACCTAGTTTGTTGGCCTTGCATGGGCATGTTTTGAAAGACAAGTTCTAAATGAAGGGTTATATTAACACTATCATCAGAAGAACCGTGTCCTGTTTATTTCTGGTAGCAGAATTGAGAACTAGATGGATTTTGACATGGCCAGAAGTACAAATGTTGGTGGTTGAGAGCAGTGCCCACAGCTCTCATCTAGCTCTAGCTGTTGGAGATTTGATTTAATTGAAACAACCTGTCGTTCAATTGAATGGCCCATTCATAAGCAGATCAAGTGGGTTATTTAAGTATATAAGAGTTGCTTGACAGCCCATACCCTTCAGGACACTCAACTGGGGTTCAGTTTGGGTATGTTCTGCTCTCATTTTAAAGCCTTGGAAGAGTGGAATTTAGTATTGATGAACCAAAATGGATGAAAGCAATTATAGGTTCATAATAATGGTTTCTACTACTAGAATTGCCTACTCCATGGTCATCTAGGTCTTATTTGGAGCATATTTACTAAAGGATTTTTCCAGCCTCAATTATGTATTAAGTACTGTGAAATACACATGTGAAATGTGTATTTCCAAATCTGCTTAAGAAGTCAAGTACTATCTTTGACAGGTAGCAATTTACAAAAAGTAGCTATGGAAGAAAAATAGCTGGCTTCTCACTTTCTTCCAGAATCTTGGTGGAATCTATAAGACATATTATCTACAACAGAAGAGTCTGTAAGATAAAGCGGTATTTGTAGCATTCATAGCAAAGTTGCCTTACATAGTCACACAATGGAGATTTTCAATGCTACTTTCAGCTCGGATGCTTTTCTCAGGCAAGAAAAAAGGGCCCCTAAAAATGTGATCTTCTGGCCATCAGATAGTTATCATCTTCTTTAACTTGAAAAATATCTGGGAAGATTAATAATGAAGTCAAAGATTAGAGTAGTGAGTAGGCATTTAGCCTATTTGAGTAAGTGCCTCGTATTGGAATATCTGGGTTCAATGCCCAGATCCAACTCTGTTTCCTCATTCAGCTTCTAATAAATGATTATGCAGTTGGGTTCTTGCCACTCATACTGGGGATTTGAATGTTAACTGTTCCTGGATCCAGTTCCATCCAGCCTAGTCATGTGAGACTTGGGGAGTAAACCAGCAGGTAGGTCTCTCTCTCTCTCTCTCTCTCTCTCTCTTTCTCAACCTCCCCCCCCCCCCCCCCCCACTTCTCAGTCTCTCAAAAAGAATAATTAGAGGGCCAGGCATGATGGCTCAGTAGCTAAATACTTGCCTTTCAGCCACCAGGATTCCAAAAGGCCATCAGTTCATATCCCGGCTGCCCACTTCTCCTCCAGCTCCCTGCCTGTGACCTGGGAAAGCATGCATTGGGAGCCTGCACTCTTGTGGGAGACCCAGACGAGGCTCTGGCTCCTGGCTTCAGACAGGCTTAGTTTCTACTGTTACAGCCACTTGAGGAGTGAACCAGCAGATGGAAGATCTTTCTCTTTGTATCTCCTTCTCTCTATAAATCTGCATTTCCAATCAAAATTTTTTAAACTTTTTAGAAAAAGATGATTAGATTAAATATCATATAAATGGTTGAAATTAAAATTTTCTTATTTGGAGTATACAAATATTTGAAGGTAATAACTATAGCACAAGAAAGTCCAGCTAAGCAGAGTCTGTTCAGAGCCCGTTTCTAGCTCTACTGCCCCAACTCAATGGCAGAACTATTCAAAAATATTTGCAGATTTTTTTTAAACTATGATTAAACATTTATCTTGCTTATCACTAAGCTTTGCACTCATGGAGCATTTTCATTTTGTTTTTCAACTATGTAAGCAGCTTTTTCATTTATTAGATCCTGGGCTTTTCTTCAGTGAAAATGTAACCACTTCTTGCTGTTTCAATGACGCATCAGGTTTCAAAAGGTGCTGTTGACTGGCCTCATGGTCACTGCACGTGTCTTCCTCCCCAGGAGACTTGGAAGACGCCGAAGCAGATGAGTATGCGTTCTCCTGCTACAGCCAGCTGGAGGTGGACGGATTTCAGCACTTGCTGAATTGTAGCTTTGATGACCCAGACATCAACAGCACCGACCTGGAATTTGAAATATGGTGAGAAATGATGGTGGCAATGGATGCTGAGAAATTCTGTTGTTCTTTCCTTGTGGTCTTGACAATAGCGGTAAAGGAAGAAGTATGAGGTCTAATTATAAATATTTAAACCCTACACGTTCTCAGAAACCTCCTGAAACTGCTTGACCTTCACTAAGACTGAAACAGAGCAACTCTCACTGCTCATCTCTCAGATTTGAAGACTATAGCTAAGTGATGCTTAGTATTGGAGAGGTCACATCCCACCTGACTTCATAGTAACGGTTAAACAAAACCCTGGTTCTCCTAGATTACATCTCTCAGGAATTTTATTTATTTGCCCAACATGAGACAATTGCGTATCTCCAAGTATCATGTTAGAGGGAGATTTATAATCCCAACACCAGTTTTTGGACCTAAAGGAAATTATGTACCGTAGCTAAGCCTCACTTTCCCTGTTTGTAAAATGGCCTGAGTTTCCACAAGAAGGTTGCAATGGTTAAATAGTTTCATGCATGCAAACACTCAGAATAATCATCCACTGTGTAGTGAGTAATGGAGAAGAGATACCCGTAGTTCTGTGACTACACATACACCCTGCCTCTTGGAACTGTCAGTTCAGAGGATCTTCTCAATGTAGATTTTCCAAAACATTCCTGGAATGTGTTGCCCTTTGTCTCACTAAGCTTCACAGAAAAGGCAAAAAAAAAAAAAAGAGAGAGAGAGGGGGGGGGAAATCCCCAGATTATGAATGGTAAAAAGCTCGGGGAATTTAATATTCCCTTCCATATGTCATCTCTAGTTGCCAGGGGTTACTATCTCTTAGCTTGATAAACTACTCGTGGCTATCTCCAAATTTGTATCAGATGACCTGATTTTTAGTTTACTAGCAGGGAAAGTGAGTCAAGATCCACCAGCAGCAGCAAAATAGGACTTCTTTCATTCCGAGACACCCGGGTCTTTTTCCCACAATAGGTAGTTCGGACAAGCCCTGAGTTCCATCCTAAGTTCATTTATGGGTGCTTGCCGCACCAATTCATGCAGTATTTCCTTTGGTCAGCATTGAATAAATAGAGTCATAAACTGGACTATCTCTGCTAGTTCACTTTTGAGACGCACGTTCTTGGGCAAAACATGTCATTAAAAAGAAAACTACGGAGTTCTAGGCTGCAGCCAAACAATGCTAAAACAGTTGAACACCTCATTCAGGAGACCTCCCACAGAGGTTTGACTTTGGGTTTTCAACCACTTGCTGGGTGGATGGCTATGACCCCTGTGGTTTTTCTCCTCCAAGCCAAGGCTGACCTTTCTATCCACTTTCATTCACAACGGACTTAACCACTTCCTTGCCCACTTAAACAAATTTGGCCACTTCTTTTATTCAGTATTCTGATTGTACCTGTTGTAGTTTAGTGTATGCAAAGCCTTCTTTCCAGTTTTGCAGTTGAAATCAGATATTTCAGCTGAAAAGTGATTATCTCAAGATATGTTGTTAGTGTAAAAATAATAAGCTTGGACTGCTTTTCACAAGTGTTGTTTTGTGCAGGAGTTCCTGCCCCTTCTATGCTCACAGCAGGCAATTTATCTCCAATAATTTGATTATACACAGTACTGTATTTGCTGGCTAGATTATTTTTTTCTTCCACAGTGAAGCTATCTTTATTATTGCATTTTTTTCCTGCTTGCGTAAATTCATAAAGAAGAAATTGGAATTTTCTGAACATAATGCATGCCAATGAAGTCGTTAACAGGTAGGTTTGTTAATAAGACTTCCAAGAACCATTTTTAGAAAGCAACGAATTTACAGTTCAGCTGGAGCTACAGTTCGTCTCCCAGGGCTAGAAACTGAAGCATTGTGTACCCAGTGGATTTCAGGGATGTATTTAGGTCAACTGAGCTCATGTCAGCTACTTTGTACCCATGGGATACAGCTGTCATGCAGATCAAATGTTCATCCTGGCCACAAGAGCTACAGGAAACGCTACTGGGAGAGGGAGGGGAAAGAGAGGCTTGCTAGATTGCAGATCCATATCAGTCCCCCTTGACTGGGAGGTCTGAAAATTTCTCTTTCCTCAAAACTCAAGCAAGCTCTCAGGTGCCTTCAGTGACAAAGCAGAAGTGCAGGAAAAGGCACCAAGGCTAGAATCCTCATAGCAACACCTAACTATCTTTGTGGGCCAGGAAGGTATCTACCCTCTCTGATGGTAGTAACTGGCGTGTGCCTGGGAAGAAGCGGGCAGAGGCTGGCACAGGATAGGTGTCTGCAACTGATGCTTGAATCCTCTCAGTACAGTTTGATTTTCATTAAAAATATAGTCAAAAAGTCATTCAGTAAATTTAAAAGCAAAACCAAGGGAATTTGTTGCTTTGAAGAGCAGAGGTATTTTTTTCTGATTTCTATGTGGTTAATTAAAAAAAAAGAAGAAGAAGAAAGGTTAGTTTTGACTAACATTTAAAAACCCTGGATATCTTGAGCTGGCCAACATATAAATATGCCAAATATGCTCAGTGTATAGATGCATTCCTCATAAAGCTGTACTGTTGCCTATCGGTAATTTTTTAACTTTTTATTTCTAATTTCTATAAAATGAGTAAATTTCACATTTTTTGCATGATGCAGATGTATAAGCATAAGGACTCCACCCTCCCTTTCCCCTTTTTACCTCTCTGTTTCACTTTGTCTTTTTTTTCCTAAATGATTGCAATAACATACTCATTCATTTCATAGTAACAAACTTAACTTTGCAGTACTTAAAGATAGCATGACATAGCAAGTAAAGGGAGGAGAAAAAAATAAAGTTGCATATAATGAAAGTAAACTAAATTGAAAATGGCAATCCTATTGCTCATGAGTTTGCATTGTTGCTATATACAATGCTTAATCCCCAGGATACTTTCAGTATCCTATGAGTGCGTTCACTCATAGAGATTATGCTTATTTCACTCTGTGCATTGATTGTCACAACTCCAAGAGAATATATATTTATCTTTCTTGGGTGACTTATATTGGTTAGTTTATTAAAAAAAATCTGATGTCTCTGAACCCACAGGGACAAAAGCAGGTGCAGCAGACACACGGCTGCTCTTGTCAGATGGGGAGTGAAATCTTAGTTCTGAAGTTGGAGGCACCTCTCTTGTTTTTGTTACCTGCCATCCATGTGGGATACCAGAATGGAACACCTGGCTCCTGGTTTCAGTCTCCCCCCACCCCCCCGGCTATTGCAGTCATTTGGGGGGAATGAAACCACAGCTGACCCTCCCTGTCTCTCCCTTTCTGTGCCCCCTGGACCTTTCAAATATATAAATAAATAAATAAAGCTTTAAGAAAGCAATAGGAATAAAGAAACATTGAGATTTTGTATTTTTTCCTACTATAATCTAGTGTTTACTTGACACATGGCATCACCATTTGGACTAGCCACATTTCAGATGTTAAACAACCACCTACTGGTAGTGGCTGTGCAGCCTTGGAACTTTCCTAACCCTAGCAACACACAGTCAGAAACCAATTAAATTGATTTAATTCAGTTGAAATAAATTGGATACACTGAGTTAGCCTACCCATGGGCCAACATTAAGCTTTCCTCCAATTACCAGAATCAGAGGTCAGTAGCTCAAAGTGGCTCTGCCTTGTCTGGCCCACAGGCTTTGTCTTCGTCTCCCACACCAAGCAGTTCCTGCAGTTCAAGAGCACTTGTATCAGGGCCCAGGCTCACAAGATGCCATATGGTGATTCCTAACAACAGTTTCTCATTAATTTCACTCCCTGAAAAGTGAAAATGAGCCAAGAATACCATTTTAGATCTTAAACTCGTGGCAGTTCCAGAAACTTGCTACAGACCTACAACTTGATACTTACCAACATACTCTGAACCCACCGGTTGGAATAAAAGGCATTGCCCCCAGCTTCTTTGCATCACATGCTTACCTGACATTCAGAAATGGGAACCTGTCCCTAGCTCTGCCCTTGGATTGTCAGTCTTCGGCCACAACAAGCTCCCCATCTTTAGAACTCTCCACATGACATTCCTACCACGCTCATTGCCTGTTATCCATCTAGTTTACCTTAAAATTTGCTTTTTCTTTTTGCTCTGTTTCAAGCAAGAAAACTCTTCTACTCAATAAGGGACACAATCCTCTAGAAAAAACACCACACCACACACACACACACACACACACACACACACTTAAACTCTTCAGATCCTGAAGAACTGCATAGCCTAAGAGATAACAATTAAGAAAAATTCTATTTTAGAGATACAATTTTAAGAAATGTATTATTACAAACAAAAGCATCTAACAAATAATCAAAGATTCTTCACCAGTCACTAGTTTGCATGATGGCAGGAGCTTAAGCAGTCAAAGACTACAAGAGCACGCGGGTGGAAACGTCTGTAGTTCAGGTTATGGGAGCACCTACAGGCTCACCCAAAGCCTCACTGACATGTTCCTCCTTCCGTCCACAAACCATGCTAGAATACACTCAAATGCATGCAGAGGGATGTGTGTACCCCTCCACTTCACCAGAGAAAACCAGCACGTATTCGGGGCTATTGTTAGCACAGAGCCTTCCTGAAACACACTCATGATACATGATGAGTGAGAAGGAACCTTTTCATGTGAGCAAATTTATACACAGGCTGTTTCTATTTTTTCTGCCAAGAGTTCCACTTCTAGCTTGACCCAGTTGTATTTCCTTTTAGAACTATTCAACTCAGTGTAAGGAGCATGTCGGGAGGGGGAGTGAAGCCTGGTAATGATAGTAATCACAGGAGAAGGAAATTAAATTGAAATCTGAAGAAGGAAGGGAAAGCAATAGTTGCACGTTTATTCAGTATTGTTTATTTTTACAGCAAGAACATATGTTTTCATTACCTCTTTCATTTTACTGCACTCCCTTTAGTTTCCTTTGCTTTCTTTTTTGATGATAGCTCACTTGTAGAGCAATATTTACATTGGTAAAAAGAGAGCCTTGAGAAAGGTGCATGACCCATAAGCCTCACATCAGTCATTTCTCACCCTTGAGAAAGGTCCCCGAGGTCCCCTTACAGTCAATTCTCTCACACCCGTGCAGCAATCAGAACTCTGAATCCCATCACTGCTTGTTTGGCCAATTTCTGATTGTTCTTCTATGTAGAAGCACACTGGTTATTGTTTTCTGACTTCTTGCATTTGGCAAAATGGGTTAGTTTGTACTGATACTTGATTGTACCTCCTCTTTGGTTTCTGAGTATACCGGAAATATTTAATCCTTTCCTCCACTGGATGGACATCTGTTTTTCCAAGTTTCAGACTAACACCTTTTAAAGTTGCTGATAACTGCTGTGTAAAATTTAGATTATGAATGTATGATTTCAGTCCTCCTAGGTAAAACCTGAGGTTCTAATTGCCGCATCATGGAATAGCTGTGTAATTAGCTGTAAGAAATCACTCCAAACTTTTTGAAAGATGATATTACTCTATACTCCTACCAACAATGTATGGGAATGATGCACCATTTCTAAAGTATGGACTTAAAAGTATCTTTATGATTTAAATTTGCATTTTTCAAGTAAATAATTTTATATTTTTCTATAGCTATTTGTATGGCTCCTTTGGACAAGTATCTATTAAACTCATGAGTGAAGGGCCCGGTGCATTAGCCTAGTAGCTAAAGTCCTCGGCTTGCACGCGCCAGGATCCTCTGTGGGCACCGGTTCATATCTCAGCTGCTCCACTTCCCATCCAGCTCCCTGCTTGTGGCCTGGGAAAGCAATCAAGGACGGCCCAAATCCTTGCGACCCTGAACCCATGTGGGAGATCCAGAAGAAGCTCCTGCCTCTTGCCTTCAGATCAGCTCAGGTCTGGCCATTGCAGCCACTTGGGGAGTGAATCAACAGATAGAAGATCTTTCTCTCTGTCTCTCTTTCCCCCATGAATCTGAATTTCCAATAAAAATAAGTAAATCTTTTTTAAAAATCATGAGTTACTTGTCCTATTATGACTGATAGATATGAGTACTTTATATATTTTGGTAACAACTCCTTTTTCACATCTGTATGTTATATTTTTGGTCAGTTGTAACTCATTTGATTTTCTTACTGGTACATAAGCAAGAGCGATTTTTTTAGTTCAATGAATTTCAACATGTCTTATTATTTTCTTATGGTTTTTCAAAATTTATTTGACAGACAGAATTATAGAAAAAGAGACAAAGAAAGAGAGAAAATCTTCCATCCACTGGTTTGCTCCCCAAATTGCCACAGTGGATGGAGCTGGGCTCTTCTGAGTCTCCCACATGGGTGCCAGGATCCAACAAGTGCTTGGGCTTTTGTTGCCTTCCCAGGTACAGTATCAATGAGCTGATGAGCAAGTTGAGCAGCAGGTGCTCAAGCCAGTGCTGTGTGGGATCCAGCAGTACTGCATCGCAATACTGGCTGCTTTTTCGTGTTTAGTACTCTTCGTGTCATTACGAAGACATTTTTTTGCTTGGTACCAAAGTTGGGAAAGTATTTTCCTGTAGTTTCTTCTAAATATTTCACAGTTTCACACTTCATATCTAGATTGGTAGCACATATCCAATTAACCTATAAAACATGAAATTGAAGTTCATACTTTCCATAAATTTACACACCACTGTTTTTGAGAAATTTACTGTAAAAAAAAAATTTCTGTTCTTCCTCTGTATTTCTTGGTTATCTGCACATAAAATCAACTGCCCTTATGAATCCATTTCTGAACTCTCTAGTCCTTTTAATTAATATATATATCTTTATGTCAGCATTGAATTATCCTAATTATCATGGCATTAAGGTAAATTTGAAATTATGTAATCAAAGTCACCCATATTTATTCTATGTCTTTCAAGGTATTTTTTGTTTCAGTGTGTTGTGAGTTTCCTGTATTTTCACAGAAACTTCAGAATCAGTCTTTCACTTGTTTAAGCCCTGATGCCATTTTGGTTAATATTATATGTATATGTGTGTATATATATCTGTGAGTATATATATACATATATGTGTATATATTTATATCTATAAAAATACATATTCATACATATATGCAAATTCTGTCTTATCAATACTGAATTTGGTTACACATGAATTTAAACTTCCTTTATTATCCCTCAACAATGTTTTGCAATTTTCAATACAAAGACATTAAACATCTGTTATTGGCTTTGTTTCTAATATTTGCATACTTTCATTGATATCATGAATGGAACTGTCCATTTTGAACTTCAATATCCAAATTTTTTGTGTTAAACTAAGGAAATATAATTGACTTTCAGTGTAATGGATTTGATAACTACACTTTATTGAATCTTGTAGTATTGGAAATTATTTATAATTTTCCATATGAACAAACATGTTGTATATAAAGAAATGAATTCTCTTTATTTTCTGTATGAATATCTGTTATTCACTTCTTCTATCTTATACAAGTAGAGTAGAATCTCTGAGACAGTGTTGAGTAGAAACAGTGCAATTAACTGTCTATCCTTGTTTTCTCATAACCTTAGGGTAATAATTAGCATTCATATCTTCATCTTTGTATCCTTTGTAGATGACCAGATTATTTATATCTTTTATTGGGTAATGTGGTAAATATGATCAATTGATCTTCAAATGTTCAAACCTGTGGGTTTCCTGGAATATATACTCCTTTGTCACAGTGTGGTGATGTTTTCTTGAGAAACTATTCTTGAGGGAAATTTGCCTATAAGTTTCTTCTCTGTAATAATTTGCCACATTAAGCTAAATTCAGAAAATAAATTGGTCAGAGTCCACTCGACTTCCATTATCTAAAAGAATTTGGTTAATATTTTACCATTTCTTTCTTACACTTTTAATAAAATTCACCAATATATAACCATCAGAAATAGGATCATTTGTAGGGTAGTGTATTAATAATAAATTTAATTACTTTAAAAGAAATAGGACTATTGAAATATTAGTTCTATGTGGATTCATTTTATTAGCTTGTAAGAAACGTTTTCATTATGTTTAAGTAATTTCATGCATTGCCATGCACTTTTAAATTCCCCTGCACTTTCAGAATCTGCATGATGTGCATGATCTACCCTCTTACACTCTAAATACTGATGATTCATGTATTTATTTTCTCGACTCATCATGTCAGAACCTATCCATCAAACTTACCTATGGAAATTTGTTAAATGACTCATTAGGTACAAGCTGTGTGAATCTAACCTTTTGCACTATTTTATTTTTACTTTTAATCCTTATTTTGGCATCTCCATTATTATTTACAACATCTCCATTTATCCTTCAAGATAACAGTATAAAACAACTATCTTCCTCTCTAAACAATGTGTCTCAATGATCAGTTATTAAAAAATCAGAAACTTACTGTGATTGCAACAAACATGTTTTAACTGTTTCACATTTAATTGCATCTAATTCCTGAGTAAACCATCACTGAATGTACAAGCAACAAGAAGTCACATTATTTTAATTCATAGTCTCCCTGTCTTGAATAGACCTACCCACTCATATGCTAATGAGTGGAGTTCAGGTCATACAACTAAAATATACATATGCTATTATTCTGTTGTTTACAGAAATTCTTCCCTGAAACAAGACAAATTTGCTTTTTGCTTTTGCAGTGGTGTCTTTTTGAACGAAGGATGCCAGAATTTGAATAAACAAGAAGAGTTTTATTTCATCAAGACAAAGGAATTCTTACTGGTTGTCAGTGGCAAAATATGTGTAAAGCTTGGGAAAAAGAACATAGTGTGCAAAAAAATCGAAATCGTCAAGATAGGTAAGAAATTGTAGATGGGGGCATGCTTGTCATCATGTGGATAACAAAGTACTGTATCTGAACTACATGTTGATATTGAACAAATCAGGAAGATAATTTGCAAGAGTCATCTAACAGCAAAATCTCCAAAGCAGTTTCTTATCAAGTGAAAAATTCACCCTATGAGGAAGTTCTGAGATACTTCACACTCAGCTGTGAGTAAGGATGGCTTGTATCCGCAGACTGAGGAAAGAGCAGATCTCTGCCAAGTGCTAACTGGAGTCGGGTCTCCTGTCATCCACCGGCACACACCCTCTCCTTCCTCACCTCCCTTTTCCTGAGCTCCAGGTCGTCTTCTAGGCCATGTCCCCACCATATTCTGAGCATGCTTCGATAAATTACCAAGTCACTCAGGAAAGGAAATATGCCTTCTGCATTACAAAAAATGAAGACCAGTGGATGTGGAGAGAAGATACAGATAGATGATAAATAGGTAGAGGGGTGCGTGTGTGTGTGTGTGTGTGTGTCTATGATAGAGGAGGGAGGGAGAGAGAAGTTTATGTTAAGGAATTGGCTCTTGCAGCGTGGGACTGGTAGGTCTGGAGTCTTTAGGGCAAGCTGAAATTGTGACAGTTCAGGTAAGAACAGACACTGCAGTTTTGACCTTGAGTTCTTCACGACAGGAAGGCCAGACTTCTGATTTACATTCTTGAGACACAACTGATTCTTCTTTAAGGAATCATAATCTGTGCTCTAAGGCCTTCTACAGATTGGATGATGGTCACAGCATCATAGAAGGCAATCTACTTCACATAATGTCTAATGACTTAAATTTTAAACATGTCCAAAACAGTGTCTTTATACTTGTGTTTGACCAAGCAATGGGCACCATGGCCTACCTAAATTCAAAACTTGCATAGGGGACTTAAGGCTGAGAAATAAAGCATGGCCAAACCTGAATGGCCTAGAATACACATGTTGTACTTGAAAAAGAAAATTAATTATTTTTCAAATAAAATTACAATTTGCATATTTTATTTGCATGTTTATCTTCAGAGGACAAATAAGATACAAAATGAATCATATATACATAAGGTGATAAAATAAGGGCAAAAGCAGAAGTTCTAGATGTGAACAATTATCTTAACTTTTTTAAAAGCAAATATAGTATGAAAGAGGCATTAGGCATTTGGTCATGCATGTTGACCAGAGAATAACAGTGATTCCAACCAATACGAGTACAGCCTAGTGTGAAGATGACACTCCTCTATCTCCAATGTGTGGCACCACCCAGGAGGGTTTCTGACTGGAATTGGAGTTGGTAAGCACCACTTCCTCTCACGTTGCTCACAAGACCATGCCTCAGTGCAAGGAAAGCTGGAAAATGTAGTCTGAATTGGAGTCCAGAAAGAAGCCACTTTCCAAACAGCCAATCGCTGACTTAGGATCAGAATGCAACTCAAAGTTGATCAACTTTAAAAACTGCCTTTATTTCCTCCTCTATACAGAGCTTCTTTGTTTTTCTCCCTTTCCAGTTAAACCTGAGCCTCCTTTTGACATAAAAGTTCTTTATCGTGAAGGAGCAAATGACTTTGTGGTAACATTTAATACATCACACTTGCAAAAAAACTATGTAAAAAGTTTAATACATGATGTAGCCTACCGTCAGGAAAAAGATGAAGACAACTGGATGGTAGGTAAACCAAGTTTGCTCTTACTTGAAACTTCTCACTGCTCTAGCTTTCCTTGCCCCAGAAGTGCATTTAACCCTAGAGGGCTAAACCATTTTTTCTTCAGAAATGTACCCTTGCTGAAAGATGCTCCAATACTGTGTCCATTCAAGCCCCACAAAATGCAGGTCCCGTCTAACCCATCCGGTACTACCTCTAAATTATTTCTTTGCTCTGTCTGTTGCCTTTGTAATATTCCTGGTTTAGTTATATAACAGTTTCCACTGAGACCAAATTGATCTTTATTTGGAGGTCTCATCCTTGAGCAGCACCACCCAATCACAACCACAGTTGGGTTTATGGGATTTGTGAAGGCCATAAGAGGGAAGGTAGCGTGGAGCCAGAATGCTTGCTTTATCCCTTGAAGGTTCAAGCCACTGAGTTTTAACCCCTCGTGATCTGGAGGATTACTCAGCCTCTTTCTTTATGATCTGGCTATCCCTACAACCTGCTTAGGGAAGAATGTAAAAGAAAAGTCAAATATCCAGGTTCTCTTAGCCCACTTGACGGCCTTCTGTCTTCTGTTCCCCAGAGACACAAAACAGATGGCTGTTTTACTTTTGGGGAGCTCAAAGAGCAACAGTTTATTTCATCTGCCTGCTTGAGCTGCGATCACTCTTGTGGGAGCACAGCGTGGTACAATGTGGCTCTGTGTAGAAACATAGCACCTGCCCCAAGTCATCTGCCACTCCTTCTATACACCCTCCCTGATACGCACACGTACACACACGTGACCTTGATTCAGCCTTCTTCCATTACTTGTGTGGGCATTGCCCCAGTGGAAAACAACTCTATGAGAAAAATGACACTTCTTTTCCCATCCTACCGTATAATGACACATTTTATTCTTTAGCACGTGAATTTATCCAGCACGAGACTGACACTCCTGCAAAGGAAGCTGAAGCCCAATGCCATGTATGAGATTAAGGTTCGATCCATCCCTAATTACAACTATTTTGGAGGCTTCTGGAGTGAATGGAGCCCAAGTACCTATTTCAGGACAGCAGAGACTCAGAGTCCAGGTAAGGAGTACCTGCAGAGAGCTCCAGTGGCCTGCAGTCTTTGCACATCCAGTATGAGGAACCCAGAGAGAGGGAGGTTAGTGGCACAGACAAGGAGCGCAGGACTCCCCAATGTCGTCCTTACACTTCCTTTGCCCCTTGTGTGAGGGGAACAAGAGAGCACTGGGAGAGGGTTGTCTGCAACAGGAATTGATGAAAACTATGTGGTGATACTAACCTAAGTATTCCTGAGAACTACTTATAACTTAGAACAAAATACCACACTCTTGTCTCCCATTCACCAATTTAAACTGGGATCTAAATGACTGCTGTCTCCAAGTCCCCTGTAGGGAACACTTTCATTGATGACCTGCCCTTGGGTTGTTGGAAGTTAAAACAGCCATGAAATGTGGTAGGCCTCTGGACACAGGAATACCACACCTACATCTTCTCTTTCGGACCTTGAACCATTCTGCACGTCAGCTTCCATTTTCACTCCACAACTTGCTGTAACTGCAGAAAAACCCAGATCCACTCTATTTTGGCCCCTTTCCCCCGTGGGTGGAAGTTGTGAAAGAAGTGATTATTCCTTGACACTACATCACTTTTCCATTTCAAGTAGCCAATGTTAGGACCTTGAAAATAGAACATAATCTTGTTTACAGAAGAAGAGTTATCAAGAAGCAGTAAAAAGGCCTAATTAATAAATAAACTCAGAGCATTCTGAATGTCTACCCCACTGCATGCTTCCTGAATGCTAACCACGATGTATCCTTGTGTTCCAGGGGAGATAGATCCTGTTGTACTAACTGTCAGCATTCTGGGGTTCTGCTTTGTCGCTCTGTTGGCTGTCTTGGCATGTCTGTTGTGGAAAAAAAGGTGATTTTCTTCAACTAATCAAGAGGGTGACTCTATGGAATTTCAGGCAGTCCAAATTTATTGACTTCTTCATTTGTTGATGAGAAAACTACAATGGAGAACTAGGCATTTCAGGAACTACAATGCCTGGTAATCCCTCCCATTCTTAAATATCAGTGAATTCCCACAATTGATTTCCTAAGAGACAAAAATATATAAACTGGATGCACAAGAAATTTTAAAGGTCATTTTCTCCCCACACTTTACTTCTAAAGCTTTCTGGAGTGTAGCTGAAACGTAAAATGTACTGGAAGTCTGACTTCATCATGCTAACTCACAAGACTTTTGTATTCTATCCCATCAAGGAGATATATTGGGTTCATGGTGAAAACCATGCTTTAAATACATACCACTTAAGTTGCTTAATGGTCTAGGCAGTTGCCCTCAGCATAAAACCATGTATCTCCAAACTTATAAATACCCCAATTTGAATGCTACTTCCTTAAAGTGATGCCCCTGAATAACCTGGAAAACATTCTCCACAGCCACCTAAATGAGGGCACAAAAACAAAGGCCGCTAAAGAAAAAGACCACATCATCTATGTTGAATGAAAATGTCCAAATCAAATTTTATCTCATAACCACAGCAAAACTACTGCATGGAAAGCTCTTACCTCCTTCCTTCTGGTGCTTCTTTCAGCAATGTACCAATGTGATATTCTATTCACAGAATAGAGTAACAATGATCTCTAGTCTAACCCCTGCTTTGATAGACAGGGCACTGAGGCCAGAGAAAGCAGCCTCATGTCCATGGTCGTCCACCTAGTCGTGGAGGAGTCAGAACTAGAAAACTACTTTTCTAATTCCTGACCATGATTCAGTGGAAAACTCCTCTGTGCTGGCTCACTCTGCTCTTCATGTCAATTTCCTCTGATTTCAGGATTAAACCTATGATATGGCCTAGTCTTCCTGATCATAAGAAAACGCTGGAACAACTCTGTAAGAAACCAAAGAAGGTGAGTGCTTCTGGTACGTAAAGAGACAATCCATTGGTAGCATCCCCATACTCAAGAATAATATTCGGGAATAAGGAACAATTGGACTTCATTCCATAACTAAAATTGTTCTTAAAATCCTGATTGCAGCTCCCTGTAAGGGGGATAACTAAAGTGAGATGCAATCCTCAGAATCTGTGAGCTTCCCAGTGTTGGAGTGAACAGGTAATGGTCACTTCACAACCCGAAGTGTCCCAGCACTTCTGGAGTAAGATTCAACTGAGAAACAGCTACATAATTCTCTGTTATTGTATGGTGAACTTGCTAGGGATTTCTTCAGGACTATTCCTCATGGGAATGTTTGAAAGGTCACCTCTCCAGTGTTGTGCTAATGCCTTCTCTTTTCCTGTGCAGAATTTAAATGTGAGTTTCAATCCCGAAAGTTTCCTGGACTGCCAGATTCATCGGGTGGATGGCATTCAAGATAGAGAAGAAGTGGAAGGTTTTCTGCAAAACATTTTCCCTCCACAGCCAGAGGAGACCGAGAAACAGAAATGTGGAACAGGAGCTCAGGACCCCAGCTGGTCATTTAATGTTACAGTTGTCACCCCAGAAACTTTCCGACAACTGCCTTCCAAATCCCTAACAGAGAACTTCAGTGCATGTGATTCCCCTACTTGCCTTTCCTCCAGGTCCCAGGATGTCAGAGAGAGTGTTCTAGGTGGACCTCATGTGGTCCATGACCTCCTGCTAGGTCCTGGTACCCCCCACAGCCCACAGATCCCTCCATTGCCTTCACAATCAGAAGCGCTGATATTGAACCCAGTCCTCCCAGAACATCCAATCCTCACCTCACTGGGAGCAGGTCAAGAAGAAGCATACATCACCATGTCTAGCTTCTATCAAAACCAGTCCATTTTAAGAAACCCTGGGATTGAATCCGTTATGGTCAACAAAGATGATAGAGGGAAAATCTAGAGTGCTTTCTCTTCATTGTAAAGGAGAAAAAAGCATGCGACCACATTACTTAGTCTACAAGATGCTAAAACACCACTTTAACCACTCCACCAGGGTTCAGGGTCATTCAGCTTCAGACAGGAGCCTTCTGCTTCTAAAAGGTTGATTGGGTCATGAGGTTACAGGTGACTCAATGATTCAATGATTTAAGAACACAAAGCAGGAAAGAATGAAATAAAGAGTGAAGGGGGGATGGAGTGATGAGGAAGGCAGGATGTTAGCAAGGGAAAAAAAGATCAAGAATTAGAATTTACTGTAGATCCAATGCTGTGCTAAGTGTTCTGTATATCTTGCTGCACTGGATTCTCACAATAATGCTCGAAGATGGGAGCAGTTATCATTTTCCTGTATATAGATGATAAAACAGAATTAAGGAGTTAAGTATCGTGAACAAATTGCCCCATGGAGAGGTGGAGCCAAAATCTGAAGGCCAAAAGCATCCTCCCATTTTGGGGTACCAAATGACATTAATAATAGTGACAAGCAGAGTGACAAGATGATGTGTTATTCCATCCTGGGTCACTTGGAAAAATGAAATAGAATGTTCTAAGAATTACCCCCAGAATGATAAGCAAAAACCAGAACTGACTCAGACAAATGTAGACGTATGTTCACCTGATTCAAGTAGCCATAGGAAGAAAGTAGCGAACAAACAGTTCCATGTGGGTGAAGTTCTATGATCAGCCAGATCTAAAGAAAGCCAACAAGGTAAAACACACACACACACACACACACACACACACACACACACACACACACACACGTGCTGTTTGATTTTTTTGTTCTGCAAATATACTCAAGACAGGATAAATCTGAAATCCAGAATTGCTAAAGATATGAATGGCTACCAAGACCAAATTCATCTTGCTGCCACCATCCCAATATATTCATCCATGATCTCACAACAACCTGTCATTGTCCCTGGATGATAACCCAGTTGACTAAGAAGCTGTGAGTACTGACACTGCCCCTGTTCAAAAGCATCCTTAAATTGTCCCCAGCTCTACAATCTTCAACATGACTTACAGGCATCATGGAGCAGCTATAACCACATACAGTGAGTGAGCCAACTGTGGCTACATCCTTGCAGATACAGAGGAGACGTATCCTTAACATTGGACACTTGTTCTGGCCTCTCTTAGTCTAAAGTAATTTCTAATGATGAGCTCAAACCCAGACAAGGTGACTAAACATTTTCAACTCCGGGGAGGGAGCAAACCTGCCTCCCAGAGGCTCCCAACCCTGACTGTTTGTGGAATCACTCAGGGCAGAGGTCACACAGGGTTGCAAAGCCTTGTTTGAGGTCAGCTGCAGTTGTTTATGTCTTGAGTTCTCTTCCTTTTCTTGTTCTGTTTTGTTTAGGGGGCTACATGTTTTTATTTGTACCTTATTTTTTATGGTGTATCTTCAGTGAATGGTATTTTAAGTTGTAGACTAGTAGTCTTTATCTGTTGAGCCAGTTATAACCATACCATTTTATTGTTCAGATGAGTGTTTTACTTCCTAAAGTGTTTTCCTCTTTGTCAAGAGCAATGAATATACAAGATAATAATTCCTTGTGCTTCTTTAGTGCTTGTGTGATGTTCAAGGCACTTTCATAAGCATTCTCTTTCAGCTCCTTGACTCCTTGACAAGCACTTATAGAAAGGTTGCTGTATAACCCCCGTAGTGTTAGACACAGGGAATCTAAGACATATGAGGACATAAGACTTAAAAACTCTAAAATAAAGAATCAATAACTTGCAAACAAATTCTCACAATGCTGCAAAATGCTGTGATAGAGGCATATTGAAACTGTCCTCTTGGAGACATTCAGGGAAAATTCCACCAAATTTAAGTAAATCTGCACAGAGGAAAAGCAGAGTCCTCCTGATATGGAAATGACCAATGATACATGTGCATCAGATGGCCAGGTATTCCTTATCTTTTGTGAAAATGAGAGCCAAATATCCATGAAGAGGTCACTCAAATTGTCATGCACAACCTAGGCATTTGTTACCTTATGACCATCTTCTTTGACTTATGCTAAAATTAGGCCACAGAGAGCATAGGTCAGTTACGCAACCCTGGACTGGAAGGCACAGTTTTGTGTGCTGATACAGATAATTCCTGAAAGAAATGAGGAGATTCTGAAGGACTTTTGAGATCCTGTGTTTTTGTGTTGTTTGACATATGGAATCGTCTGAGTTGATGTGTATATATGTGTCTATTGAGGAAGGCATTTATTTTATTGTGCTCTGATAAACCTTATTGCTGCTCATGCTTGATTGTATACTCAGGGATGTTGTATAATATAAGATTCCTAATTAGTTCCACACAACTCCTATGGACTTCGTGAAGAAAGAAAAGCTACTGCTCAGAGGCAATGTATGCATCAGATGTAAACTGACAGCTCTACGTAGCATGAAGTGAAAAAAAATTTAAATGACAATTCAGACAAACCACTATTTCTGGGTGTAGCGGGCCCATTTTGTTTGGATGATTTTCTACCAGCCTGTCCCATCAGTGTTGGTTCCATGAGACTTTGCTTCGAAACATCTATGGGCTATGCCCCTCTAGAAAGGCTATGAAACAGAATTGGCCAGGCAGATGATGAGAATACGTTCAACAACACCTGTATATGATGCAAATCAGATGACGGTTTTGTCAGCTCAGTGGCCTTCCTTGGGGTTGTTCTTTACAATAGCCATCTGTCACTACATCACTAGGGTTGGACTGTGTACTTTCACATGCATTACGAACATTTCACAGAGCTGCTAAACATTTGGGGGCACAATATGTGTTACCTTCTCATATTTAATTAAATGCTATGGAACTCTTTGTGACTATGCTTGTCTTCTGTGAAAACAACAGATAAGGAGCTATGTAGAAGGGACTCAGCCAGTGGAAATCCTGATGGTATTATCTAACACTTTATGAGTTTTGATGCTTTATTTACTTTTTTATGTATTTGAAAGGCAGAGTTACAGTGGGGGGTGGAAGACAGAGATCAATCTTCTATCTGCTGTGTCATTCATCCAAATGATTTCAAAGGCCCACGATGAGCCAGATGGAAACCAGGACCCAGAGGCTTCTTCCAGGTCTCCTATGTAAGGGCAGGGACTTAACCACTTAGGTCAATTTCCACTGCCTTTCCAGGAACATTAGCAGGAAGCTGGATAAGAAGTGGAACAGCCAGTGCACACACTGGCAAGCAAAAAAATGGATGTATTAAAGGCTGTAGGAGAGTATCTGGATGGATCAAAGAGGCAGTCTTAGAAGCCACACAGCCATGACTGGCACCTCAAAAAACTGAAACCAGTTACCTATCTCCACTGTGGCCTCCTAGCCCCAGACTGGTCTTCATAGACACATCCCCGGATCCTATCTCTGGTTGCAGCTGAAATGAGCCTATGCATAGTAGCACCAAGGGCTCATCATGTGTGTGGGTCCTGGTAATGGGTAGTAGCAATGAAGAGAAAACTGAGATCTCCCACTTCTATAGAAATGGGCAGGCATTACTGCATTAAATGGAGCATTCCCAAACATGAGATGAGGGTTCCCTGGTTACTTGAGAAAGCTGCATCAGGAAAAAAGACATTGTTGAGTAAGTTATTCTGGTCTGACAATTTTTTTTTCCTTTTAGAATTTAGAATATGTCACTCCATTCTTTTCTGGCCTGCAGTTTCCTCTAAGAGGTCAGCTGTGAGTCTAATTATGGTTCATCTCTAAGTTAACTGATATCTTTTCACATGCATGTTTAAGGATCTTTTCCTAAGATTTAACTTGATTATGATATGTTATAGCAAAGATTGCTTTTGGTCAACCCAATTGGTAGTTCTGTGTTCCTCCAATTCTTTCTCCATATTAGGGAGTTCTCAATCATTTTATCATTGAATACAGCTATAAATTCAGTTTCTTTTTCTGTGGCTTCTGGAACTCCCATAATTCTTATATCTGGCCTTTTAATAGTGTTCCTTAATTCCTGAATGCTTCTCTTAGCTTAACTTAGTTCCTCTTCAGGCGTTTTTATTGTTTCCCCATTGCTGAAGAAATTGTCTTCCAATTCAGAGATTGTTTCTTCTGCCGCTCTCATTTTATTATTTTTAAAATAAAATAATAAAAGAAATAAAAATTTAAATTGCTGCCTTGTGGTCTTCATTTCTAATATTTCAGCTTTAATTTGTGAGTTACCATATCCTGATTAACATATTCCTTAACTTCCTTGAACTCCTATATGTGCTTTTTATTGTTATTAAAGAGGTTTATAACATTTCTTTTTATTTTTTATCCCCCATTTCCTCAATGTCTTCCTCAGTTAACTCTGAGGTTGACGAAGGCTTTTGCTCCTTTGAGATGGAAGCATCAGTAATATTCATTGTGCTCTGTCTCTTCTTTTGATCTTGGTCATTGTTATTCTGATTATCAGATTCTTCTCCTTATAGCAGGTTTCTAAGCTGTGTTGCCATAGGTCTATAAGTCAGTTTTACTGATCCCATTAAATATCAGGTTATTTATTTACAGTTGCTCATGCCACTCCCTCTAGCTAGTTTCAGTGCTAGGATCTTGTTCTAAGCTTCCAAAATGGTCTCCATAGCCTCATCTCCTGACTCACCACTCCCCACCTGTGATTCCATGCTGTGGCTACACTACTACCTGCTCAACCTCTCTCCCATTCTCAGTTCAAGAAGTTCCAGGATTTAAGGAGACACCAACTAAATCACTAGATTGTCAATGGTTATATTCTTGCCAGGACTAGGGGCCACCCAGACCTAACTTGGATGGAGCCTGTAGGAAGCCAAGTTGGTATTGTATTTCACATAGACAAGTGCAATGCATTGAGCCAGAAGTGAGTCCTCGCCTGGCTTAGCACATGCACAGCTTGCTATTGTCCCTCCAGCCCCACAGCCTTTTCCTCGGTACACAACATGGCACCTGATGTGGCACTGATGGGGGTCTGGGCTGTGAAATCCATCCTGTTCCTGTACCCAACTGTTGGGATCTGCCACTCTGCTTCTACTCATAGATTAAACAAATCAGTAGAATGAGCAGCTCTATGCCTGGGTTCACCTCCTGAGCTCATGCTGTACTCCCCTTCCCACCTGGCCATTGGTGGAGCTCTGATCACCAATCGCCAACCACCAATGGGGTATCTCATCACTGCAATACTGCTCTGCCATTTCTGCTGCTTCCCCATGTCCATGGGTCTCCTTCCTCTGCCATCAGGTTGTCTTCTCTTATTTCCCAGGATCACTGCCCCTCTGCTTCACCCTGGCTAATGATTCTCTATTTGTTTCCTCCAAAGCTAAGGTTCAGCTTCCTAAACAGTACTTATTTCCAGAAATTTGCTATCACTTTTCCACCCCAGTTGGCTAGAAATGTCTTTTCAACATACCAATCTCAAGTCGTAGCAGGGCATTTGAGGCAGTCCTGGGAGATGGATTGTTGCCTTTCTTTCCATGTTTTGATTTCATCAGTTTGTTTAATAGCATGACAAGAAAACACTTTAAGGTTTAAATGATTTGGAGTATACACGTGACTGATTGGATGAGTTCATGTTCTTTTACTAGTAATTTTCATCATTTTAACTCTATAAGTCAGTGGCATCTAATGCATTCAAATATTGTGAAATTTCTGAGAGTTTTTCAGAATTCCAAGCAGAAATTCTGTACCCACTAAGCAATTACTTGCCATTTTCCTCTCCCTGATAATATCTATCTTACTTCCTGTGTTGAAGAAATTGCCTCTTGTAAGTAAATTGCATAAGTAAGAACATAAAGAATCTACCCTGGGCATCTGGTTTATTATACTTACTGTCTTTTTTTAAGTTCAGCAATGTTGTATCATGTATTAGATTCCATTTTAAGGCTAAATTATACTTCATGTACATATATCTCAGAATGTGCTTTTCAATTTATTTACTAAGGTACATTTGGGTAATTTCTGCTTTTTTAAAAAAATGATGCTACCATGAATACTGGTGTCCCACTATACTTGTGATTCTTTGCTTTAACTCTTTTCACCATACACATGTAAGTAGAATAGTGGATCATATGTAAACCTCACGTTTAAATTGTTCATTTTTTATAGACCAGGGCTATTTTTATTTATCTGTGGCATACAGAATGATAATCCAACACATGTATGCAATACAATAATCAAATTAATGTAATGTAATAATCAAGTTAAGATAACAAGCATTTTTATATCCTCAATGCTGACCTTTTCTGCAAGTTGAAGAATTTTCAACTCTTCTCCATTTTCTTTTCAAAAATGGCATAAATTGTTATAGAATATGGTACTCACACTGGGCTGTAGAATACGAAAATTAATTCCTCCCATCTAACTGTATTTCAGAGCCCTTATATCACCTGTTTCCACTGTCCTTACCTCCCAGCCATCCCGGTGGCTGGTGGCTAGTATGCCATTCTGTGCATCTCTGAAGTCATTTTTTTAAGTTTTCCCAAATCAGTGAGAATATGTTATTGGTATTCATCTTTGTGTGTCATGCTTACTTCACTTAACTTGATATCCTCCTGTTCCAGTCATATGTAAATTGCAAGATCTCATTTTTTTTTTGTACAGCTGAGTACTAATTTTTGTGCACGTATACCACATTTTCCTTGTACTAATTGCACTGTGGTGGTATCTCATAGTGGTTTTGATTTGCGTTTTCCTGATAATTAGTGCTATTGAACTTTTTTATACGTTTATTAGCCATTTATATGTTTTCATTTGGGAAATATTTGTTCGGCTCATTGGCTCATTTTTAAATCAGACTTTTTGATAGTTATTGAGTTGTTGGAGTCTTTTGTGTTTTGAATACTAATGTCTGGTTGATTGAAGTCTCCTAACTTCCCTCCCACTGAGTCGCTTCCCTCTGTCAATTGCCTCCTTTGAAGCTTCTTCATTTGAAATAATCCCTTTTGTCAATTTTTACTGTATTTAAAAGATGAGAAGATCACAGATATAAGCGGGGTATTTCGGGCGTGGGGTGGACCAGGAGGGGAAAGGTGGATGAGAGCGAAATGTTTCTGCCTTTCTTCCTGTGTCCACATTGCCAGTCCTAATGTCTGTTTTTATTCTTACGGCTTGTACTTTGGGGTCTCATCCTTAAAAAAATCTTCAGCTACACCTATGTCTTCTATCAGCTTTTACAAAGAAATCTTGATTTCAGTAGGATATAAATATTAAACTAGTTTCACATTTCTCCAATTACTAATCTCAAGCATACTATTAAATACTCTTGAGGCAAATTCCTTTCAGTGACCAAAGCCTAATTCAATCTTGTTTGAAAATACAATTTCATATTTGAATCAAAGCCATACATGTTTCTGTAATAGGCTTATGACAAGAGGGACTTGGAAAGAAAACTAATTGCTTGTTTTCCTTCGCCTAACCGTTCTTCACCTTCCTCTTCTCCCTCTTTAGAGTTAAGAATTAGAGAAGTGGAAAAAACACTATATTTATTAGTTCTCATTGATTGTTCTCACTTCCCTGGTAAATGGTAATTATCCACAGGTACGTTCTGTATACCTAACATCAAATGTGTGTGTATGTACGTGTGTGTGTGTGTCTAGGTAATGTCCAGATAGTCTCCTCTACCAGTTTCTTGACCATTATCCCTCTCCTAACCCTTTTCCTGAATTCTCCCATTTTGGTAGTTGGTTGGTTAGTTGATTTCTGCTGGGGTTCCTGGCTTTATCTCTGCATCTGGTTTAGTTGTTCTAGTGTGGCTCTTCAGTATCCACATTAGTTTTTAAGACAGTCCATGTGATCCATATTACAACAAACTTAAGAACTACACTAAGCTAGATATACCCTGAAATGTGAAGATGTGC